TATTCCATGGCAACGAACAACATAAGCGAGTTTATTCATAAAGTTTAGATGTGATTTGAACTAAAAAATATATATATATTATTGTAGTAAAATAAATAATCATCAATATAACATATAAATAGCAAACAACTAACCTCAATTATCTATTTTTTAATTTAATCCGTTTGAATGATCCAAACGCTTAAGAATGACATGCTGAGTACCGGCTCTTTTAGGCTGACGATCTTGCTTATCCCACATATCAAATCTTCCATTCTTCCAAATAGCATTATAAATAGAAGAGCATCCACCTTTAGTTTTATATTTTATATCACTGAAACTTTCATATGGTATCCATTCAACAATATAATCAGGCCTCTGTGTATTTAATTGACATTCACGAATTAGCTCATCGATTTCAATATTACCAGAGGACAAATTATTGAAATTATTTGTTAAATAATTTCTTATACAATATTCACAGTATTGTTGAGCATGGGTCCAATTTTGGCAATTTTCACATTTTCTTTGTTTACTTTTTTTATTAGAAATGTTAACTTTATCAACTAGAAGACTAAATTGATAAGTCAGATAATCTTTTTCTGAAGGTGTCAAATTCTTATATTGATTAATAGCGGATTCAACTATTTTCATATCAGCTTTGACTTCTTGATAATTATTTTCGTCAGCTGATAACACACATACTCTATGAAACACAGCCCACGCGACATCATAACGAATCTCACTCATATTAAAGTATAAGAGTATTATATATGTTGTGAAAATGGTGTTTATTTATTACAGGAAATTCTGAGACTTTTAGTTTGATTTTTTCAAAAATTAATTGTGAGAATTTTATATCAAATAGTTTTAAATCTAGAATGTGTATGATTAACCTTGCAGACAAAATGGCTGCGTAAAGTCCTTGCAATGCACAGGTGTTAATTGCGGCATACCAGGAACGTGTACGAAGTGTATGGTTTACAGGCAACTATCTGTGTACAAAATCTTGGATCTTATTGGACAGCATGATCTTGTCATGTGAAAATTATTTTGTAAAGATCTACAAGTTTTTAACTTGTATTAATCTGGTACGTACGTATTACTCCAAATGGACTTAAAGGTTGTTGATCTGAGAAATCAGAATATTAAGTACAATTGACGCTAACTTTTTTCAGTAATTAATTTAGATCAAGCTTATGCTGTACATCACGATCATATTCTGCAATACACTCTCTATGAAAAAAGTATTTACATGATAATATAATAATAGATTTTATAAGACTTGGAC